GTCTTGATATAGATCTTGCCTCTGGTCTTGTTCTGGGTCTAGTATAAACTGATTTTGATATAGATATAGGGTACAGTGATTGTGTGACAGAATAAGGTACAGTGACTGTGTTATAGAATAGGGTACAGTGACTGTGTGATAGAATAGGGTACGGTGACTGTGTGATTAAATAGGGTACTGGGACAGTGTGACAGAATAGTGTCCAGTGACTGTATAATAGAATAGGGTACAGTGACTGCGTGATAGAATAGGGTACAGTGACTGTGTGATTGAATAAGGTACAGTGACTGTGTGATAGAATAAGGTACAGTGCCTGTGTGACAGAAAAAGGTACAGTGACTGTGTGATAGAAAAAGGTACAGTGACTGTGTGATAGAAAAAGGTACAGTGACTGTGTGATAGAAAAAGGTACAGTGACTGTGTGATAGAAAAAGGTACAGTGACTGTGTGATAGAAAAAGGTACAGTGACTGTGTGATAGAAAAAGGTACAGTGACTGTGTGATAGAAAAAGGTACAGTGACTGTGTGATAGAAAAAGGTACAGTGACTGTGTGATAGAAAAAGGTACAGTGACTGTGTGATAGAAAAAGGTACAGTGACTGTGTGATAGAAAAAGGTACAGTGACTGTGTGATAGAAAAAGGTACAGTGACTGTGTGATAGAAAAAGGTACAGTGACTGTGTGATAGAAAAAGGTACAGTGACTGTGTGATAGAAAAAGGTACAGTGACTGTGTGATAGAAAAAGGTACAGTGACTGTGTGATAGAAAAAGGTACAGTGACTGTGTGATAGAAAAAGGTACAGTGACTGTGTGATAGAAAAAGGTACAGTGACTGTGTGATAGAAAAAGGTACAGTGACTGTGTGATAGAAAAAGGTACAGTGACTGTGTGATAGAAAAAGGTACAGTGACTGTGTGATAGAAAAAGGTACAGTGACTGTGTGATAGAAAAAGGTACAGTGACTGTGTGATAGAAAAAGGTACAGTGACTGTGTGATAGAAAAAGGTACAGTGACTGTGTGATAGAAAAAGGTACAGTGACTGTGTGATAGAAAAAGGTACAGTGACTGTGTGATAGAAAAAGGTACAGTGACTGTGTGATAGAAAAAGGTACAGTGACTGTGTGATAGAAAAAGGTACAGTGACTGTGTGATAGAAAAAGGTACAGTGACTGTGTGATAGAAAAAGGTACAGTGACTGTGTGATAGAAAAAGGTACAGTGACTGTGTGATAGAAAAAGGTACAGTGACTGTGTGATAGAAAAAGGTACAGTGACTGTGTGATAGAAAAAGGTACAGTGACTGTGTGATAGAAAAAGGTACAGTGACTGTGTGATAGAAAAAGGTACAGTGACTGTGTGATAGAAAAAGGTACAGTGACTGTGTGATAGAAAAAGGTACAGTGACTGTGTGATAGAAAAAGGTACAGTGACTGTGTGATAGAAAAAGGTACAGTGACTGTGTGATAGAAAAAGGTACAGTGACTGTGTGATAGAAAAAGGTACAGTGACTGTGTGATAGAAAAAGGTACAGTGACTGTGTGATAGAAAAAGGTACAGTGACTGTGTGATAGAAAAAGGTACAGTGACTGTGTGATAGAAAAAGGTACAGTGACTGTGTGATAGAAAAAGGTACAGTGACTGTGTGATAGAAAAAGGTACAGTGACTGTGTGATAGAAAAAGGTACAGTGACTGTGTGATAGAAAAAGGTACAGTGACTGTGTGATAGAAAAAGGTACAGTGACTGTGTGATAGAAAAAGGTACAGTGACTGTGTGATAGAAAAAGGTACAGTGACTGTGTGATAGAAAAAGGTACAGTGACTGTGTGATAGAAAAAGGTACAGTGACTGTGTGATAGAAAAAGGTACAGTGACTGTGTGATAGAAAAAGGTACAGTGACTGTGTGATAGAAAAAGGTACAGTGACTGTGTGATAGAAAAAGGTACAGTGACTGTGTGATAGAAAAAGGTACAGTGACTGTGTGATAGAAAAAGGTACAGTGACTGTGTGATAGAAAAAGGTACAGTGACTGTGTGATAGAAAAAGGTACAGTGACTGTGTGATAGAAAAAGGTACAGTGACTGTGTGATAGAAAAAGGTACAGTGACTGTGTGATAGAAAAAGGTACAGTGACTGTGTGATAGAAAAAGGTACAGTGACTGTGTGATAGAAAAAGGTACAGTGACTGTGTGATAGAAAAAGGTACAGTGACTGTGTGATAGAAAAAGGTACAGTGACTGTGTGATAGAAAAAGGTACAGTGACTGTGTGATAGAAAAAGGTACAGTGACTGTGTGATAGAAAAAGGTACAGTGACTGTGTGATAGAAAAAGGTACAGTGACTGTGTGATAGAAAAAGGTACAGTGACTGTGTGATAGAAAAAGGTACAGTGACTGTGTGATAGAAAAAGGTACAGTGACTGTGTGATAGAAAAAGGTACAGTGACTGTGTGATAGAAAAAGGTACAGTGACTGTGTGATAGAAAAAGGTACAGTGACTGTGTGATAGAAAAAGGTACAGTGACTGTGTGATAGAAAAAGGTACAGTGACTGTGTGATAGAAAAAGGTACAGTGACTGTGTGATAGAAAAAGGTACAGTGACTGTGTGATAGAAAAAGGTACAGTGACTGTGTGATAGAAAAAGGTACAGTGACTGTGTGATAGAAAAAGGTACAGTGACTGTGTGATAGAAAAAGGTACAGTGACTGTGTGATAGAAAAAGGTACAGTGACTGTGTGATAGAAAAAGGTACAGTGACTGTGTGATAGAAAAAGGTACAGTGACTGTGTGATAGAAAAAGGTACAGTGACTGTGTGATAGAAAAAGGTACAGTGACTGTGTGATAGAAAAAGGTACAGTGACTGTGTGATAGAAAAAGGTACAGTGACTGTGTGATAGAAAAAGGTACAGTGACTGTGTGATAGAAAAAGGTACAGTGACTGTGTGATAGAAAAAGGTACAGTGACTGTGTGATAGAAAAAGGTACAGTGACTGTGTGATAGAAAAAGGTACAGTGACTGTGTGATAGAAAAAGGTACAGTGACTGTGTGATAGAAAAAGGTACAGTGACTGTGTGATAGAAAAAGGTACAGTGACTGTGTGATAGAAAAAGGTACAGTGACTGTGTGATAGAAAAAGGTACAGTGACTGTGTGATAGAAAAAGGTACAGTGACTGTGTGATAGAAAAAGGTACAGTGACTGTGTGATAGAAAAAGGTACAGTGACTGTGTGATAGAAAAAGGTACAGTGACTGTGTGATAGAAAAAGGTACAGTGACTGTGTGATAGAAAAAGGTACAGTGACTGTGTGATAGAAAAAGGTACAGTGACTGTGTGATAGAAAAAGGTACAGTGACTGTGTGATAGAAAAAGGTACAGTGACTGTGTGATAGAAAAAGGTACAGTGACTGTGTGATAGAAAAAGGTACAGTGACTGTGTGATAGAAAAAGGTACAGTGACTGTGTGATAGAAAAAGGTACAGTGACTGTGTGATAGAAAAAGGTACAGTGACTGTGTGATAGAAAAAGGTACAGTGACTGTGTGATAGAAAAAGGTACAGTGACTGTGTGATAGAAAAAGGTACAGTGACTGTGTGATAGAAAAAGGTACAGTGACTGTGTGATAGAAAAAGGTACAGTGACTGTGTGATAGAAAAAGGTACAGTGACTGTGTGATAGAAAAAGGTACAGTGACTGTGTGATAGAAAAAGGTACAGTGACTGTGTGATAGAAAAAGGTACAGTGACTGTGTGATAGAAAAAGGTACAGTGACTGTGTGATAGAAAAAGGTACAGTGACTGTGTGATAGAAAAAGGTACAGTGACTGTGTGATAGAAAAAGGTACAGTGACTGTGTGATAGAAAAAGGTACAGTGACTGTGTGATAGAAAAAGGTACAGTGACTGTGTGATAGAAAAAGGTACAGTGACTGTGTGATAGAAAAAGGTACAGTGACTGTGTGATAGAAAAAGGTACAGTGACTGTGTGATAGAAAAAGGTACAGTGACTGTGTGATAGAAAAAGGTACAGTGACTGTGTGATAGAAAAAGGTACAGTGACTGTGTGATAGAAAAAGGTACAGTGACTGTGTGATAGAAAAAGGTACAGTGACTGTGTGATAGAAAAAGGTACAGTGACTGTGTGATAGAAAAAGGTACAGTGACTGTGTGATAGAAAAAGGTACAGTGACTGTGTGATAGAAAAAGGTACAGTGACTGTGTGATAGAAAAAGGTACAGTGACTGTGTGATAGAAAAAGGTACAGTGACTGTGTGATAGAAAAAGGTACAGTGACTGTGTGATAGAATAGGGTACAGTGACTGTGTGATAGAATAGGGTTCCATGACAGTGTGGTAAAGTGTGGTACTATCTAACATAGAGCTTTTGTTAAGTGTAGAGGGAAATGTTTGGTAAAACATAGGTAGAGAAGTGAATCAATATGCTTATACAACACATGACTAGTTTTTCCATACCTCTTTAATAGTGTACCAAAGCGAGAATCAGTTCTGCCCAGCATAACATATAAGAATATACTGTATGTCTATCTGCTCACCCTTTCAGCTACTTGTTTGTGTGTTAAAATTATGCAACACACATAGCTTTATAATTCATCACCTCCTCGATATGGCCATGGAAGATGGATGTGAATCTTGCCACTGTTGTTTCAAAATGACTGAGGAAGAATTTCTTTTGAAAGTGACAGTTCCTCTTTATCTGTCCAGAAGTAATATAAAAGTGAGAAGTGTCAGATAGAAGCTGACTTCTGGACTTCATTTTAGGTAAATTAATCTGATCCATCCAGATTTATTGTGAGTGAAGACACTGTCTTGAAACTATCATAAGCTTGCGGGGCCAGAACAGGAGCTTCAATCTATGTCATTTAAAGAAGCTAGCAGAACATTCATCCCACCAATCTGGACCCAAAACGAACATATATCTTTTTTTGTGGATTTAGTCAGTAAACTTGTACTCATTTTCTCAGTTCACGTGACCCCGACCCTTGTTATGTTGTGTTCGGGATCTGGAAAGGACCAGAGCAATTAGTATCTGAAAGTCCCTCAAGTTGGTTATTCTGAGACTCTTCTGTGATGTTCTGATTCTGTCTCTTTAGAGAAGTACACCAACTTGTTAATGTGCATTTAAATCTTCTGGAAGCAAAACAGTATAGTAAAGGATCCAAACAACAGTTTGTTCCTGACAGCATCCAAGTGAAGTAATGGGCAGCCTCAACACTTCGTAGCAAAGAACAAAAATCTGGGAAGAACAACATGATGGTAACACCCAATGTCCTGGTGATGTGGATGGGGATGTAGCAGATTATGAATATTATCAGGGAGATGGTGATAGTCCGCACTGACTTGGACACCATCACTGTGCTCAAGGTATTCATTGGGCTGACTTTGCGCATATATTTAATCAGTAGACTGTAGCACACCAGCGTTATGGAAAAAGGAATGAGGAGACCAGTAAAGAGAATGACCCAATTCCAGGCAAAAAATAAATGGGGCTCATCATTTTTATGGAAGCTGAGACATTTTGTAATGTTTTGGACTTTGGTAGTTTTAAGGACGAAGAAAAACGGAATCCCTTGACATAACAGACAACCCCAAATGAAGAGGCAAAGTTTAGTTATAAACGGTTTTCTGCCCAAGACTAATCTTTTTAAGTTGTGGGCAATGGTGAAATATCGATGTATACTGATTATGGTGAGGAAGTAGATGCTTCCATACATGTTAGTGCTGAGCAGGAAGACCTTAAACCTGCAGAGAAACAACCCATAGGTCCAGTTGTCTGTCAGGTAGTACATAACAATCAAAGGAGCTGCCGGGGTGATGATGGCGTCTGAGATGGCCAGGTTGAACTGGAGAACAACCATGGAGTTCCATGGTTTTACCTTGAACCAAAATATCCATAAACTGATGCAGTTTAGCACAAAGCCAATGAAGTAGATGAAGCTCAAGAAGATGGCGATGAAGTCATTAATAGGCTGTGGCTGACAACCGGCTGTATTCCCAGTGTAGTTTGACATCCCAAAAGTCTGTATCCTAAAAAATCAATCAGATCTTTAATAGTTAAAGTGTATCTAACCCCGAGATAAAAAATGTAATGTATTGCAGCTTACGAGTCCTTAAATGAGGTGTCTGTATTAGTTTTCTTTTTCAGGCTTTTTTCTCTTTGTTTTCATGTGTTTCCAGGGCCGGATTTACCATTAGGCAGAGTAAGCACGTGGCTACCATAGTGGGGCGCCGTGCAGGTACCTACCCTGCCTGATTCCCGTTGTTGTGTCAAGATACAACACCAGAAATAGCAAGGAGGGTGCATTCTGCACAAAATTCACCCTCCTGCTCCAAGACCAGTGGCGCAACAAGAACCGCCAACTTCCGCAAACTCAGGGGAAGGACCTCTGTGCTGCATAAGGCTGTCCTGTAAAACACCTGTCTGATGTGGACAGACGTTTTGGGCAGCCTTAAGCGGCGCCGAGGTCCTTCTCTACATATGCGAAAGCTGGCGGGTCCCATAGCAGGTAAGGGTGCCGCCTCAGGTTTAACAGATTTCCATTCGTGCCTACAGGCACCTGAAATGGAAATCAGAACAGATTAAACAAAACACTTTCACTGGTATATTTAACAGGCCAATAGGGGAGCAATAAGTGAAGTTCTTATTTAGGGTTTACATACCATTTAAAACTTTTTTTTTGTTCACTTGAACATATTCTAATTGGAATCAAACATTTTGAAAAATGTGCCCATAAATGTGTTACAAAAAGTGATAAAATACAACTCACTTATCTTACGGAAACAAGAGAAAGAAAAAACAAAAAAAAGGAACGCATATTACTAACCTGATCTTGAAAACAGATCTGTGATGTATGGTTTAGTTGTCTGACTATCACAGTGGTTCCTCTTATTGTGCTAGTATTGGTCATGGGGTTCCTCTTGGTATGCTAATTTAGGTCATGGCGTTCCTCTTGGTATGCTAATATAAATTTCTCAATTTCTGTAGAACAGTTTAACATTTCCGTCTTGCAGACATCCCGAATTATGGCAAAGCTCTAACTTACATTTCTACAAGGCTGAGTTCAGGGTTAAACTGCAATAAAACAGGGTTGGTCATATATAAATAGAGAGTAATACAATAGAAAGGAATAAAAGAGAGGAATAAAACAAGTTTCTGTGTTCCCCGACAGCAACAAATGAGCTTCCAGCTGTATTCAAATGCAGTTTGGGGGTTCGCTGTTGGTAAAACCTGAATGTGATGGCAGAGTGTTGGTGACTGAAGACAGGAATGAAAAGCAGGAAGAGGTGGCCAGGAATGGTGTTAAGCAATTATGGTGACACATATTGGCAAACAGGGTTTTTGCCTAAATGAGAAGATGGAGGAGTTTCCCATAGCACTAATGAGCTTCCAGCTGTCATTTTTTAAATTTTCTAATACAGTATAATACTCTACTACTGTTAATGTAATTTAGAAACAAATGCTGGAATGTGATTTGCTACTGTCAGCAACACATTTACTTTCTTAAGATTTACACATGAAATCAACATATTTTTTTTCCACAAACATTTAACCAGCTCAGTGTAATACTTCTGAGCAGCCATTGATTGCTCCCTGTATCCAATGTTGGGAAGATTGCATTAAGCAAACAAAGTGCCCTTATCAATTTTCCCCCCTTCTTACCCTAGATGCATTTTTATTTATAAGGGGTATTTACATCCCTGCATGTAGCTTTATATAGAGTCCTATGGGGCTGTTTCCTGAGGCAGATATTTGCTATTTATTAGAAGGGGGGTAGGGGGGGGTAAAGCATTCTTAAGCACATACGTTTTGGTGCATCATTTAGTTAATTGTGTGCTCCTTTGTGCCAAATTGAGGGAATGGTTTACTGTATATTTTTGGCTGCCACATATTTTGGGTCATTCATGCGGTATTCACCTCCTTTTTACATGACTTTTACAGTTTAAAACATTTATTTTTCAGAAATCCCACTATTAATGCAATTTGGCCACATGTAGCATTCCATTATTAACACCGTTCCATTATCAGGCCCACTGATTTTCAAAAGTTCACAGGCATGTACATGAGGTGTGTGATTTTGCAAATGTGGCCTACAACAGATTGTTTAAATATTGTATATATAGTCTGTGCAATATTCCCTCTCTTTTTTTCAGTGAAAAATATATACTTTATTGTATTTTTTTTGGCCTCAAAAAGTTTCATGAGGTGTGTGATTTAGCAAATGCAGCCTACAAAAGATTGCTTAAACCCTGTCTATGCAGTCTGAACAATATTCATTTCTTTTTACAGTAAAAATGAAAAAGCTGACATGGTGTGGATAGAGTCTGTACAATTTTTATGGATATTGTTTATGGAATAATACACTCTAATTTTTTTTCTTTTACAATAAAACCTACTTTGTCTCTCCCTCTTTAATTGTGGCCTAGAAAAACTGCCTGCAAAATGTGCAGCAGGTCTGTCAAATATTCCTGGTTGCTATCTCTAAATTAATACAGTCTAATATATATTTCATGATAAACACTACCTTGTCTCTCCCGCTTACATTGCAGCCCAATCAAGCTGCTTACATTCTCTCTCTCCACTGTAGCCGCTGTACTATATGTGTGCCTACTGTTTCTGAAATAAGGCACTGTATATTTTTTCAGTATAATAATTCCTTCATCTCTGTTTTGACATTTCATTAAATTGACCCATTATGTGTTAGAGAGATATTAGTTTGGTTGGGTTTGTAACCTTGTATATGCATTCATATATACCTGGCAGAATCCTAGATTGCATTGTAATTTGTATAGGTACCCTAGGACAACCATCTTGCTTCCCCTGCCCCACCGCCCTTACATTTTCTCCATCTTCTCTGTTTCCTGGCTGGTGAGAGAGACTCCCCAGATATGTAGATCTTCTTACCACCAAAATCTCAAAAATTGTATTTACAGTATGTATTAATACAAATAAAGCATTGGGACCAGATAACCTGCACCCCAAGATACTAAAGGAACTAAGTGAGGTTAAAACAAGACCATTATTCCTCATTTTTAAGGACTCTCTAATGACTAGTAGAGTTCCGAGTGACTGGCGGAGGGCTACGGTAGTCCCAATATTCAAAAAGGGGGCAAGATGCCAACCTGGGAATTACAGACCAGTTAGTCTTACATCGGTAGTTTGTAAACTGTTAGGGGGAATGATTAAGGACTACTTGGTAGAATTTGTTCAGGATAATGGTATAGTTAATGACAGTCAGCATGGGTTTAGGAAAGACCGTTCCTGTCAGACTAACCTACTGACTTTTTACGAGGGGGTAAGTAGAGTAGTTATACCATAATGGGTATGCCGCTAGTGAAGTCGGAGATGGAGAAAGATTTGGGGGTCATTGTAGACTGAATAATAGATTACAGTGCCAGGTTGCTGTAAGCAAAGCTAGTAGAATCCTGTCCTGCATCAAGAAGGGAATGTTTTGCAGGGACAAGTCTATAATTTTTCCACTCTACACATCACTGGTTCGACCACACCTGGAGTATGCGGTGCAGTTTTGGGCACCGGTGCTCAGAAAGGATGTCCTTGAGCTGGAGAGAGTACAGCGGAGAGCAACCAAACTCATCATGGGGATGGAGGACCAGAACTATGAGACAAGGCTACTAAATTTAAATATGTTCACGCTGGAAGTAAGGAGATTAAGGGGGGACATGATTTTCATGTACAAGATGTTCTATAGTCATAACAACATTACCAACAAACTCTTTAAGATTAATTAAAGACTAGAGGCCACCACCTAAAACTGGTAGAAAAAAAATTCCAACACAAGGGGCGAAGGGGGTTCTTCTCAGGGTCTGGAACTCCCTGCCACAAGTAGTGATTTCAGCAAATAATGTGGAATCATTCAAGAAGCTTTTGGACGATTTCCTGAGAGACCGTAATATACAGGGGTACAGGTAACCTATAATAGGTTGGACTTGATGGACTTATGTCTTTATTCAACCTCAAATACTATGTAACTATGTAACTATTTATTTTGTATGGTGAGTGTTTATTTGAATTTTAGGTGTTTAGTTAGTGGAATTTATTGAATATGTAATTATTGGTGTATTTATTGTCATATCCATGTGAACATCATAGGCTACCTCCAAACTACCTGATGACGCTTTGGCGAAATGCGTAGAAGGCTGGACATAGTGCAGAATTACAGATGATCTAATGATGAATATTACTATTTATGAAATTGTAACAGGATATTGTTATAAGGAAATTGATTGCAAAACAGTGTATTGCATTGATAATATACACAGTATGTATCTGTACTGGTTCCACGTGATATACCTATTATTGCCTTGAAGGCGAGCTGCCATTTGTTATGCTTTTAAGATGGGTGGATATGTTGTTTTTATCTGTACGTCTATTATAAAAAAAATTAAATAAAATCAGATGTTATTCTAATGAATTATACCATGTGACCTATGTGTTAGTATGGGGTCTATTCACGATGCAGCCGAAGGATCTAGCCGTAGCTTTGGACGACCCTTCGTCTAGCTTCGGCCCCAGGACCCCTTCGGTTCAGTAGAACCGAAGGGCTGCTGTACCGGCTATTCACTATAGCCCGTACAGCTCCCGAACTTGGCCGAGCGGCTCAGTTGACAGCCTGCTTCTGACAGCTGGGCGAAACCAGCCGTGATCTTACCGATGGCTCCAGCCACTTGCAGAGAGATCGGTGTCCCTGGTTACCAGCTACCCAGGACACTGATCTCCAGGCAGCCTAACTCTCCCGGGCGCTCCAGGAGTCTCTCGCTCCCGGCCGCCAGGGAGAGAAACACTGCCTTTTCTTTTTCTATTCTGACACTGTGTTAATACTAGTGACAGACGGCATCATAAATGTCATTTTTTAATTGCCCTGCGTTCCAATTCAACAGCTGTTAAAATAATCAGCCACACAGAAAGGTTTCAGTGAATTTGACTTAAACACCGTGAGAAGGAACAGTAAAACACAACCATTCTGCAGTGCTAAGCAGGAAGCAGTGCCTGAGTATGTAATGTGCAAATATGGCACACATATTGTACATATATGTACATATATAATCATAAATTATACACATAGCTACGATTTTTAAACAGAAACACATTGATACCATTAGCCCTGATCTCTTTTCTATGTATCTCAAAAATATAATTACATTATTTCAGTGGTTCCTCTTTTTAGGTCCCCCCACATGCCCTTTGATTCAGGTAGTAAATTTAGATGACTATCCCTGGACGCACTGTACATATACTTTATACATGTCCTTAGGTTTAGAGCAGAGGTTATTGTAAAAGGATAAGTGTACTTATAGTCCCCCTGCTCCAGCAGTTTCTGCAGCACATATACCATTACCTACCTGTCCCCCACTCCAACACAATCTTGGCTGTGTGGCTTGCCTGGCACCACTCTTATGGTGCCCCCTGTTACGTGATGCGGGCTCACCTGAGGTGCAGGGTCTAGCAGACAACTGGTCTTCACCAAAGCTCTTTAAGACAGAGATGGGCTGGAGACCCTAATGGTTCTGGTTTTCTTTGTTGCACACTGACAACAGGTTGTGGCCCTCAGGTTAGTCTGTGTGGCAGTAGCAGAACAGCTATGTTATGGAGACTGTACAAAAGACAACAGTGCTTTTTTGCTGAAGGGTAGTTGGTAATGAAGACACAGCACCAGACACCGAAAGGAAGAGGTTTAAATACTCTACAAGCCAGTGAGAATGCCCAGCATCAGGGATGCATGCTAATTGCACACTAATACATGCAAGCTGAAACATGCACACCAAATCATGCTCATGCTTATGAGCTTGATCGGCCATACCCATAAAGCCACAAGCTGGTGAGTACATGACAAGTGAAAGAGGAGCAGGAAAGGCCATACCCCCC